AGAGTCAGACATCGGAGCAAGAGTTGGCTAAGCCGCAGACGAAAATCGCGCAGCTGAAAACGACAAATGATCAAAAGGTCGTAGTAAACTGGCAGTCATGCGTTAGTCCTGCCGAATCAAACCATCCTAAATCGGTGGAAGGCGGTAGCGGGGATATCCGCGATGTAGACGCTGCAGGTATGACTAAACCACAAGGCCGTCTAGTTGATCGCAGTAAATGCATTGTTATAAAGGGCATGCCTGAGTCTGTTTCCGACACTCCAAAGGACAGCATGCAGCATGACATAGAAATATTCCAGGAATATCTCTACATCGATCTACAGAGGAGACGAGAAATTCACAGAACTAAAGGCTTTCAGGATGGGCCAAATAGAAGACTCAAAAAATGAACCACACCGTTCGAGACCGTTAAAAATTGTCTTTGGGAATGACGAACAAGCGCAGCCACTTTTAAGCAGGAAAGCTGCGCTTAAACACGATCATCCATCAGTTTTTTTCAGCGGGACTTTTCACCCGCCGAGCGAGAAAAATGGAGGGGGCTCAAATTGGAAGTCCTCAGGCGGTCGAGTCTGGCCGAGACGAATCTCAGAATAGTGGACGGAAAATTATACGCGTTCAGAGGCCATTCCTCTGGAGAAAGCCCATAACTCTAACAGCTTAGTAACGATGGAAAGCAGCTCATCCCGATCAGCTTCGACCTGCTTTTGCATTCAATCCCATGAAATGGATAAACGCCTGTATGCCAGAGTTGCTCGTGCCAAATTGAGATTTTTGTATACCAATGCTCAAAGTCTCGTTTCGAAAATCGACGAACTCAAAGCGAGAGTACCGGAACAAATCCCCGACGTCATCGCCATAACGGAAACTTGGCTTAATGCCGAAATCATGGATGCTGAGATTTCGATACCGGGTTACCAGCTGTTTCGTAGAGACCGTCAAAATAGGCAGGGCGGAGGGGTAGTCGTATATGTAAGGGCAGGAATTTCGGCACTTGAACAAGCCCACACCCTCTCCCTTGAATATGAATCCGTCTGTGTAAAGATAAAGAAGAGCAATGCACAAAATCTAGAATTCCTGGCGATCTACAGACCACCAAACCTTCTGAGTGCAGCTGATGATTCGCTCCTTGGTTTATTCAAAGATGTAGCTAGCCACCAAGAGGCACTTATTGCTGGGGATTTCAAGGCACCTGCAATAGAGTGGGAAACTATGGCAGTTAACGGCGGGCCAGCTTTTTTCAGCAATAAGCTACTTGACCTCCCACTCAATCTCCCTCTGACGCAATATGTCAAGGTACCAACAAGATTTCGAGAGAACCAGAGAGCGAACTGTCCAGACCTAGTTTTCACTAAAGACTTCTCTAATATCGACGAAGTGTATTCCAATGCATCTCTCGGGAAAAGTGGTCATACTACGCTTCTATGGGATTACTCGCTCTTCTCTAAACGCCAGAAGAGAACAGAGAGCATTCTTATATATATTGAAAGCAGATTTTAATAGGATGAAGAACGAATTGACGTCCGTGAATTGGGACAGCTTGCTCAGGAGAGATCCAGGTGACGACTGGAGATCTTTTAAAACGATTTCACTCGATCTGATTCGGCGCTGTTGTCCACCTAAAGTACAAAAAAAAACAACTCGAC